TCACATGTATCAACACCCCCACACTGAAAAATGGGGGGGAGCACTTTAACTAAAGATCATCGAACCAGCTTTACTTAAAGCACCCCCACTGCCATTTCTCAGCATGAGAATGCTGATACACATGACGCTGGAGTCTGCTGAAGCACGGTAATTATCATGCTCCAGCAGACTCGACTAATCGAGCCTGCTCCAACATGTTGTAATTGCAATGTATCAGAGCAGCCTCTCTGCACGTGTATAGGTGCCCTCAGGTTCCAAGACTGCGTTTAAACATACACTTACATTTTAAGCGCATGAGAAGTCCTGAAGTCTGGCACTCTCCCAAGATGTGAGAGATGTGTGTTAAAGATGACACTGAATCGCACTTCCTGGTGGCTATGCTATTCAGCTGAGCAGAGATGTATCAAACTCGTCTGCCTCCTGTGGGCCAGATCCAACCTGTGAGGCTCCTTTAGGAGATCCAGGTCCACCCCTGGTGACAGAGTCGTACAAGCAGTAGCAGGATGTACAAGCATCACTGTATCAGCTCAGAGAATCTGGGTGATTAATAACAGCTATCACTTGCCCCAGTACTGCTAAAACGAGTCCCTAGGGGGCTCCTGGACAAGTCAAGAATTCAGAGGTGGGATCTGCACCTGCTTGCTCTGCCTCTGAAATTCTAGGCCCCTCCAGGAGCCCCACAGACTGGATCTTTGATACACATGCCCTAGACTATTGCATGATTAGGTGGGAACCATGATCATTACCTTGAGTTTTAAAAAGTGTGACCATTTTTTAGGGATCCTTATCCTGTCTGTGCATGGTAAACATGCTCTGATGATGCCTGCTGGATCAAAGCCCTGAAGGGATTTAGGCAGAACATCTAGTTCTAGTTTTCAAATGAGCTTAGGCCCAAACTCACAGGTACAAGTGCCCTCAGTTGCTCAAGAGTGGGTCAATTGTAGGCATTCACACAGCAACTCTTGGCACCTAGAGAACTTTAATAAGAAAAAAATAAAATTCCTATGAAGTTTAGGTGCCAGATGGGTGGAAATTAAGCATCTACATGTTTTTAACTTTTTTTTTTATTTAGGCAACTATAGAAACAAAACTCCAATGCAAGTGGAATACACAGGAATTACATTTTCCAAGGAATGCCTAAGTTTACTGGGGGGTGCTTCAAGTCTAGAAAGCTTGACTAGAGTTCTTGAATACTGCAGCAGACAACCCAGTGCATCTCAAGGGATATGACCACTTATGCAATAGTTATTATTCTGGACACTTCCCACAAGAATATATTTGGACATCTAGGTACAACCACCACATGTAGAAAAAGGAGGGTCTTACTCAACAGTCTTTCCAGCATGTAGGAATCTAAAATCTACATGTTGCTTTAGTCACCTAGGTCCCAGATTCACAAGGTATTTAGACACTTAAATCAGTGGAAGTTAGACACCTACTTGCCTTTCTGAATACACGTAAATCAGTGCAAGTTAGGCTCCTAAATTACTTTATGAATCCGAGAGAAATGCAAAACTCTAAAGCTCTTGGTTCAGAGGCGGTATCTTTTATTAGATCAACTAAAAAATTGGAAAAAATTATCTTTCTTTGTAAGCTTTTGGGCACATGTGCTCTTCTTCAGGCTGAGGGGGAATCAAAGATTGTAAAAGTCCCCTTAGGTAGAAAATAAACTTCATTCTGCATAGAGGAAGCTGAAGGGTGGATGTATATTCCTCTGGGTTCATGAGAGAGACATTGTGTGAGTTACTCCTTGATGTGCAGATAAGGCTGTTTCTCTTCTCTGGTGGTGTCAGATATCAGAAAGGCAGGGAGGTATAGAAATCTTTCTTGTTTAGTAATGAAGCTTATAATCCAAAAATTGCTAAAATACGGTATCGTCCATGTTTCAAGGATATGGTTTATAGCCATGTTGGTCTGAGACAAAGAGAAATACAACATTTTTTTTGCTATTTTTTAGTTGGTATAATAAAAGGTATCACCTCTGAACCAAGAGTTTTAGAGTTTTGTGTTTTTCTGTCTCATGCCAACATGGCTACAAAACATTTGCCTGAAACAAGAAGAAGGGCGTGTGTGCCTGAAAGCTTGCAAAGAAAGATAAGCTCTATCAATCTGAGCCTTTGCTAGAATTAGCCCTTAATGCAATGGATAGATATTAGAGGTGGCTGTTTTGCAGGTATATATTTATTGGTAAGGAATGGGTAAAACAAAAATATCAGAGGGTAACTTTGGTACCATTGTTTTCCAGGCATCAAGGATACCGGCTGGGACCCTCCAGTTAAATGGACATGCAGATTTATCATGTCTACAAGGCATAACAGAGCTTTAAAGAACTCATGGGCAGAATCTACTGATGTATTTACTAGGACACTTCTGTAATCACCCCCTGCCGCAGGAACGGGGACCTCAAGCAAGGACTGCTCACACATGCACATGCGCAGGCCTAGAAACATTGTGCTCATCTTGTTTTGGAAGTGAACTACATCTCCCCTGCCCCTGCCCCCCTCCTCCCTTTCCTGACTGGCCAGCAGCACTGTCGAAAGCTGGGTGGGGTCCCCAGCACTTCTGAGGGTAAGAACAGGTGTCTGTGAGCCAAGAACAACTGGTGCCTCCTAAGACTGGGGGGGCACCATAGTGGCAAGCACCACCTAGATGCAGAATGGATAAAGAATTCCACCATGCATGTCCTTTTGGAAGACTAAACGCTTTATGTCTAGACTAAACAAAAGCAATTCCACCAACTTTCCCTCCTAGTTTGTGTGTTCTACCCCTCCTAGACTTACTGTTCTCCTTTGACCTTTCTTCAATCTCTCTACCTTGTTCTTAATATATACAGCCCAAAATTGGACACAGTACTCCAGCTGAGGCCTTGCTAGCACCATGCATAGTAAAAAAAATTATTAACACATCCCAATATGATTGGTCTTTCTTTGCCACAGCACGTTGTTGACTCATAGGTAGTTTGTGATGCACTCTAGCTCCATACCTTTCTCCACAGTACTGCTGCCTAGATTTGTTATTCCCCATTTTTATTTTTGCTTTTTATTTCTTTTATGGCAAGCAGTGATCATCGATAGAAGCCAATACTGACATCAGCCAATCTTGGGGTGGGGGGGACATGCCACCCCGCCCCCCCGGTGTTCCCTGTATGAGTTACCTGTACTGTGAGCAGCTGGGCTCTGAGCTCTTGCCCGTTGTGCCCCCTCCCCCCACAAAGGCTGCATCAGCTGCCTGAGGTAAAGTGTCACATAGGGGATCCTTCTCCCCCACCCTGTCATGTAGGGGAAGAGTGCACAGGATCCCCCTGAAAACTCCCTTAGGGGAGAGAGTGAGGTACAGCACCCCCTCCACCAGGGCATAGGTGCTTCCACTCATGAAAAGACTAATACACACCACAGGCACCCACATAGGATCGTCCCCACAGAGAGAGTTGTGTGGCAATAGGTCCCACGTGCACAGGTAGAAGACCCCTCCCTGGGGAGAGGGCTCCCCAAGGTGATCCACATACCAATACGTTCCCCTCCTTGGGGAGGGCACCGTAAGGGAGGGAGATCCCGCCTGTGGGATGGATCCAGCCCACCTAGTCTAGTAGGCTACCAGCAGTGAGGGATTGCGGGGTATGACCTGCTGCAGAATTCAGGGCTCCTAAGCAGGAAGGGGTGAGCAGGGGCTGCCAGACCGACACCACCTACCCCAGATCCACCTCAGCTGCTACTGGCCCAACAGATCTAGCCTGTACTGAGGGCTGATCCTGACCTGCAACCTGGTGTGAGCTTGCTACCCTTGTTGTGTGGCAGTTGCATGCACACGAGACTCCCTTTGGGAGAGAGTAATGTACAGCAATTCCATTCTTACATACCACACATGCAGACACGCACAGAACTAGCTCTTGTGGGTAGAGCCATGTACAGTATCTTCCTTTGTACACAAATGTCCCTCGTCCCCACCTTGGGAGAAAAGTGTTGTATGATAAAGATAATGCCCCAGACAGACAATAAAATGTTATGTCCCACTCTGCAGAAACACTGAGCTACTAGCAAATCCTCCCCTCCCTCCACACACATTTCTAGGAAAATGTGTCAAAATAAGGCAAAATACCCAGAAATATCAAAATGCTCCAAACACATGCAATAAAACACACACACTGAGGCAGAGATAAAATACTTTGCAATATCCTTTCCCTTTAAGAACAGAAAATAATATACATACTGGAACCTCCCCATCCAAATGCACACGCCTAGCAATGAAGTCTGTAAATTCCAGTAAAGTATCCCTGGCAAAACCATTATATACAAAACAAAATCTCTCTTCCTCACCCCAAGAAAGAGGTCACACACAGTAAAAGCCCCACAGCTGTAGGTAAAGTCTCATCTATACTTCAGCAAAGGAAGGTTTGAAGGACCAGGAGAACATTTTATTCTGTCTGGGCTGAGTTCTGTACCCATCTATTATGCAACTACTACTGAAAGGAAATACTCCCTTAGATGAGATAGCAGCCTTCATGGCTCTGTAACTCAGGAGGCCTGCTGAGATGAATTTAGATTGCACAGCCTGTTTTTGGTAAGCACTTCAGACTCACACTGTATGGCAGGCACAAACAGTCAATATGTCATTATCATTGCAAACCCAAGAAAAAGAATTCAGAAGCGTCTTTTTACTTGAAAGTTATCATGATTTTCAAACAATAGTTGTCAGCTACTAAAGAAAAGGCAATCATTTCCCTATCAGTTTACACAGTTAATATATTATTCAGTATACTGGATTAGATGACATAATTGAAGGAAGTTGAGAGAGTTCTTGAACAATACACTGGAAGCTGGCTTGTTAAGCCATTATTGATTCTCTTCTCCAAGTAAAGCATACCTAGCTTTACAACAAAGCTTAACATTAGGTTTAGCCGCAGGCTAATTAATTTACAATATCATTACAAAAGGATTTTAACATGGGTATGAGATCTGGAAATTGCAGGTGATACAGCGCTTTTTTATTACTGCTACCATAATATGTTTGCTGCTGCTACCAAAAATTTTGTTAAGCAGGTTGATGATGGAGGGAGATTAATTCCTGTTCCCAGTCTCAGTGAAGCTGACAAATATCAACCTTTGAGCCTTGTTATTAAGAAGAGAACGTGTTTTCTTTCAAAAAAATCTAAATTTGCTTCAACGCCTTTCACCTTAAAAGACATTCTTCAGGGAGAGAGAGAAATTTCTTCAGGTACGTTTTCTGTCCTTCTTTAAATCCTATAAAATAATATTTTGCAGTACATGTAGAACTATAGTAATATGTGGAAATCATAAATAACATGAGGCTGTATTGGTATATTTATCAGACAATTGCCTTAATGAGTTATGTAATAAACTCATGGATTGGAGGAGTAAATTATAAACATTGTTGGACTTTAATAAAAAGTTAAAGCTGAACTTCTATGATTACTAGGTCTCTAAAGGAAGGCACCACAGTCAGCCCAATGAAATGGACTAAATATCTATAGTTTCCAAAAACGAGTTTAAAACTCCATTTAATGTATTAATAAAATTAAAGTGTAATTCAACCTTATGTTTGTTTACAAAGTATGATTACAGAAGAGTCCCCACAAATACATTAATATATCTTGCCTATGACTTACCTAAAGTTCCACTATTCCTTATAGACTTTATAAATACACATATTCAGTAGTATTTACTAGTGACAAAAAATACTAGCCTCAATCCTGCAGTTGGTTTATATGAATGAACACTTGTATTGCCTCAGTTAGTAGAGCTCAGCACAGGGGCAAGAACTTACCAATACTGATCTGATTAAATCCTTTTTATATAAGATATTATAAAATTATAATTCATTTCTTTTTATTCATTTTTATTTTTCATTAATTTTATGCAGACATTTAAGAAGTGTAATTGCTTCTAGATATAAAGTTTAATAAGTCTTAAGGAGACACTGTCATAACACGTATACATTTTGACTATAGTGCCTATATTCTCCCTCATAGAGCCACATAACTAATAGCTATCTATAGTGTTGCTTTATATTCTAAAATAAAAAAGTCAAATCAATTTTAGAACCTTAGCCTTAATAAACAACCTAGTAAGACAACCAATGAATTCACATGCAAGGGGGAATAGCTATAGGAAAAAAATTATATTTCAGGATTACAAGGAAAATTGACAGAAAAATAAGTGTTAAATCCTTATACTGATGAGTAATATATTCATCAGTACACTGATAAATCCTTATACTGATGAGAAAGTCAGTTGGATTATTTGTATGAGTTAAAGTTGCAAAAGACTTGTAAGCCTTTGAAAAAATTGAGGACACTTGGATACTTTTTAAAGTAAGGGTGAGATCTCATGAAAAGAATTTACTTTGACTTATATTAAGAATTTTAAAATTTGTTTTCTAATTTTGTTTGACAAAGATGTATTTTTGATGACAGATATATGTATTGATGACTGATATGTATGGGTACAATCCATTTAGCCTTATGAGAACACATATAAAACAATTTATAGAAAATTTAACTGAAAGATTTGATCTCGATAACCTTAAAATGTCACTCTAACCGGTAGACTACAAGGTTTTAATTAACAGATATATAGATTTAACCCCAGACCCTCAAAGGCTTTTAGATGCCTCACTCATCTCACTCATTTGAGATTCTGGGCCTTAGGCATAATATTTTGATCTTAGTAGGTTCTTGTTTTTCCAGTCAGTCTATCAGAAAAAATACCTTATATATAACTAGGAAAATATTACTTAAAAATACTTATTGGGGATAGAAAATAAGGAAATTCCCTACTTTATTGCAAGATCCATGTTTATGCAAAATTTCAAGGAAGTTAGACTTGGTTTGCTTTATAGTTTGCTACTTTTTCAAAAATGGATCAAGTGGATTCTAACTTCTATCAAGTGATAAGGGCCAGGAAGCACATATGGTATGTTACCATCAGTTCTTTGTATTACAAATTCAACTCTATTGCTGCTACTGAAAAATTCAGAACTTATTAGAATAAATTTTACTTTGGATAGTATTACATGGGACTTCACAGCAACTAAGATAGTGTAAAAATTACAACGGGAAAAAACTATCATGAGCCTCCATGAAAAACGCTATGAGGAGGGCAACATATTCTGTAGATATAGCACTAGGTTAAGTGTCTAGAGACTAGGTTTTGTTTTTGGGTTAGACATTGACATATCGTGTGAATTTGAACAAGTCACTTCCTTTGTACTTAAGGTTCTCCCTTTACAAATGCAGATGAGACATTATCTTCAATTTATAAAGTGCTGTTATATTTATGGATAAAAATAGATGATAATATAATCATGGGCAACTGGTGCCTCCTGAGTCAGGAGGGCACTTGTCCCCACAGCAGCCAGTAAGCAACAGGGAAGGGGTCCCCCTGTGGCTGATTGTGCTGACCGGGGGAAGGTGTCCTCGCGGCCAATTATGCTGACCTGGAAGTGCCAGGGGCATGCCCAGAAATGCCAGGGGCGCTTCTCCTGGTGCCCCACTCCCTGGCTGGCGCTCTCGGGGTGGGGGGCAGCACTCCCACCTGCCCCCTCTGCCCGTCACCTAAGCGGGGAACGCTCACTTTCAGGGGGTGCACCAGTGCTCTCAGGGGGTGCATGTGCACCCCCCCTACATGTCGCCACTGAATATAATCATTATTGATTAGCTTCCTCTATTTGTTTGTATTTCATTGCAAAGAAATTAATGTCAGTACTTGGTATTGTGAGAGTGATGCACCCTGTTCTTTCATTTAATTTTGTTTTGGTAAAACTAGTGACTAATGTCAAACTCCCTTATATTACTGACATAATTCTCATCCATTTGGTGCCTGCATATTTAGATATTATTCTGTTTATAACCTGAGGATTTCTACTTTATCATATTGTACCTGGACATGAAAGTGTTTTCCAAACCAGAAAATATCCTCTTTTCCTCAGGTGTTTCATCCTATCAGTTGTTGAACTATGAGGACAAATCAGATCTTTCTCTGAATGGTAAACGAGGAAATCAGATAATGAATGATGTCGGGGTCAATATTGATGGATCAGATTCTGTTGCAGTTAAAGCTTCATTTGGCATAGTGACCAAACATGAGGTTGAAGTACCAACATTGCTTAAAGAACTTACGACTAGGTTAGTACTACTTTTTTATATACTTAGCCTATCTGACTCTATAATTAGATTACAGGAAATTTCATTGCAGTCTTGTTTCATATTCCATTAATATAATAGTGTGCTTTTTATTGAATAAGTTAAAGAAAAAAAATCGCTATCAGACCCTTAATAAATGCTTGGATTATAAGGTCAGAAGGGACCACTATGATCAGCAGTTCTAACCATCTACATAGCACAAATGGTGGGACTTTCCTGAATCAATCCCTGTTTGAATTAATATATATCTTTAGGCAAATATCAAATATTGATTTTAAAATGTCCAGTGATCAAGAATCCGGCACAAACATTGATAATTTATTCCATTTACTATCACTGTTAAACATTGGCACTTTATTTTGAACAGACTTGTATAGCTTCTGATTCCAGTCAGAAGCTATACAAGCTTCTGGATCTTGTTACATTTTTATTTGTTAGATCAGCCATATGCTACCAAAGATCATTTCTTTATGTAGATATTTATGGAATGTAATCAAATCTCCCCCTTAACCTTCACTTTGATAAGCTAAATACATTAACTCCTTCAGTATTTTACTATGAAGAATGTTTCTAATCACTCTTAAGGTTCTTCTCTGAATCCCCTCCAATTTTTCATCATCCTTCTTTAATTGTGGATGCTGGAACTGACTGCACTGTTCATAAAATTGGGGCACCAGTGCCAAACACAGAAGTAATATAACCTCTCTGTTCTCAATTTATATTCCTCTGTTTATACAACCAAGGATTGCATTAACTCCTTTGGCCATAGCTTCCCATTGGAAGCTCACGGTCAACTGATTATCCACCTTGAAAGTTGTCTTTCTAGAATTACTGCTTTCCAGGATGGAGTCCTTGCATCCTGTAAGTATGGCTTGCATTCTTGTTCCTAGGCATGTGACTTCCTAGACATGTGACATTTGGCCATAGTAAAATGGAAATGGTTTGCATGACCTACTTTCCCAAGCAATTTAGATCCCTCAATATCAGTGGTTTGTCCTGCTCAGTATTTACTGCTCCTTAAATTTATGTACACTTTATCAATAATTATTTTTTCCAGTTTAGTAATACAAGTTTAAAAACCTTAGGGCTAATAACGAAATCTTGCAAGACTCACTAGAAACATATGTATTTGATGATCATTTCCTGTTTATACTTCTGTTTTGAGATCTATCCGTTATGCAGTTTTTACTAATTTAATATGTACTATATTTATTTTGCATAATTGTAGTTTCATAATCAAAATACTGTGTGGTATCAGATCAAATACCTTTCAGAAGTCTTAGTATACTGTATTAATAATATTTTCACTACCAATCAAGCATGTAATCTGTTCAAAACAGTTATCGTATTAGATCTGTTTTCCATAAACTCATGTTGATTGATATTAATGACAATACTCTTCTTTAATTCTTTATTAAGAGTCCTATATCAGGAGTTCCATTATTTTGCCCATGGTTAAGGTCAAAGTGACAGGTGTACAACTCCTTGAGTTATTTGTTTTAGCCTTTTTTTAGTATTGACATACTTGCTATCTTTCTTCCATTTCAATTGAAAATTCCTGGTCTTCCAAGACTTACTGAAAATCAACACTCATATTCCAGAGACCTCCTCACTTAGCATTTTTTAAACTGTACAGTGCAAGTTATCCAGATCTAGTTTATAATGTCTGATTTTATTAGATGTTGTTTAATTTGCTGATTATGTATGGATTCTTTCTGTTTATTTTAGAAAAATTAACTTTGATCATTGCCTCGTCCGTCAGGCAAGACAAAGTAGGAAGGAAGTTCTGTGTGTGGTAATGGAAAGTATTAGAACAACACGGCAATGCTCATTATCTGTCCATGCTGGAATGCGTGGGGAAACAATGAGGGTAAATATGTTTGACAGATGTATCTCACTAAAGAGAATACAGTAGAATTCTTTTTGTAGTTGTTTGTTGCCAGATTTTTACTGAGTTTACACTGGTATAAACCCAGAGCAATTTTAATAGAAGTCATTGGAGTTGTATTGATGTAAATGATATGGTCCTCTGTTTCTTCTGGGGGGGGGTTTGCGTTTTTTTTGTGGAGTGTAATTACTACAACGCTGTTAGGATCTTTGAGTGTCATTCTGGCCTTATGAAGAGCAAAACTCCCATTAACTTTAATACTGTCAGGATTTTAGCTCTGTTCAATTAGTATTGGCTTTGTACCACAATTATATCATCTGTATAAAAATATGAATGCAGTCTTCAATTAGAAAACATGCTTTCAAGTCAGATTCTGTATGAGAGAAGAGGACAGATCACTAAAAATGAAAGGAAGGAAAGAGACATGATGGTGGTGCTGGCAAGGGCCATGGTGATCTGTTCTGAGTTGTTGGAACCATTTGCTCCCAACCCATCTACACTGCTAATAGTTCATCTCTGATGCACCTGAGTGTGAGTGAGTGGGTAGGGCTTATTTTGTCAGTATCAAACTCAGGATATTGAAGGAAGCCATATAGACATAGCCTAAGTTAAGTCTAACCAAATCCGATATTTGTCCCAGAAATAGTCCTTAGAAATTACTTGGTAGCCATTCATAATGAACACAGTAAGTCACCTTTACTTGTGTAGTCCCCATTGCTGGTTAATTAGGCCTGAATATAAATGTAAATGCTATTTCTCATTAAAAGGGAGCCTACTATAATGCTATAGAATAGGAAATACAGTCTGTAACACTATCATCAACAAAAAGCAAAGCAAATTCACTAAGAAAGATGGCACATTTGGGCTCAAGATCAGCACAGCTGAGTTTGAGGGTTTGGAGAGTAGGAACCACAGTGCTGGGGTCCTATTAAGGCATAAAAATTAGAGTTGAAGAGGTAGGAAGAAAAGAGATTTAGAAGTAGGTGGTGTACTACTGTCTTTCTGGAGAAAGGAGGTGGGAAATACCACAGCTTTGCATTTGAAAAACAGGTTATCAGAAGCCAGCCCTGGGATCATTTTTAAATGGAATGTTGTTTCCACACATCCCTATGCTCTTGTAAATGTTAAACTTCTTTTGAAAACTTAAAAGAGCTATTTTTGAATGCCAAAGGAAGGTGAAAGTACCCCCATTGTCTCTGTATGCTGGGAGCAGGGCTGAGCTGATACAGCCCAGCCCTGCTCCTAGCACTATTTTCAGAAAGGGAGGGGGTGAAGGGAGTAGAGGGAGCTAATTTTGAGGGTTGCCCAGCTGGTGCTGGAGGATGGGGTGGGTGGATTGGAGCCCCCTTGAGTTGGGGAGCTCCAATGCACTTATCCCCCAACTCCAGCACAGACTGAGGAAACCCCAGAACGGACCTCCCTCCCTTGCCTTCTTCCCCTCCCTCCCTGAAAAAGCACCAAGGACAGGGGGTGGGGTGGGGGGTGGAGCTAGAGGAAGACGCTTCAGAGACATAGTCTCTCTCCCTGGATCGGCTCCAAATTGGAGCACGATCCCTCACCCTCCTGACCTAACAGCTAATGTCTGTTGGGTCAGGAGAATCTGTCTAACTCATGGCACTTTCTGTAAACTGCCATGAGTTAGACTGGGGAGTTGAATATTTTGGATTGCTCATCCAAATCGAAATGAACCAATAATCCTTCGAGAATTGATAATCACTAATGTTTATGTATCAGGCACAAAACCTATGTTTCTATGCCCAGATTGGAAATTAGCTTGTTTTCTCTTCATCAAACAGTAGTGAAGTGTAGAACAGAAAGGATTCCATTAGTATACTGATCAGCATTGATAACATTTCTTTAGAGATTGAACTTGATCTTGTTTCAAAAAAGTTTCTACTGCTGAATTTTTTTTCATATAGTTGTAATATAATCTCAGTTTAAAATATTTTTCTTTTAATATATTTCTTTTTGTAATCATAGTTTCACATTATCGAAGACCAGAATTATAAAGTACGGGACAAAGCTATCGTTTTTCCAGCACACACAACCATTGCATTTAGTGTATTTGAACTTTATATTCACTTGGATGGTAATTTTGGTAAGTGGCCTGTATTATAATTATTACTATTAGCTATAGATGTTAGACTTTCAAACAGTTCTTGCTCTGAGAGTTGGCATACCCAAGCCTCAATCCCATAAATGTTTATGCACATGCTGATTGATGTCATATGGCCTAGTTCCAAAACAATTTTTTTCTAAAATACATGCAAAAAGTATTGGAGTTTGATTTATTTTGTAAAAGATTTCACAAAATTAACTAAGATGTGCATTTTAAATGTAAGCTTAAAAATATTAAAACAATATTTTAATGGTTACATACAGCAGATACTGTTGTACGTCAACATATAATTTTTCAGGTTTGTCTAGGCATCTCAGGGTCATCTGATCCACTTCTGCATAAAAGAAGAACATGGTGCCCCCACCAACAAAACAAAACAGAACAGAACAGAACTTCTAAACAAACAACGGTTTTCCAGCCTGGGACTTTCATTTTAATTAGCACCAAAACAATTAAAAATAGTCTCATGAATCACGGTTATGTATAGGCCAGGATAGGTTGGGGCAACAATTATTGTTAGAGGCAAATGATTAAAAATTGTAACAAAATAAACAAAACAATTACTTAACACAAATAAAGAAAATTAATGCACATATCTATAACTTTCCATCTATAGAAAAGTTAAAATGTCTGTTTCCTTTATTTTCCAGTGCTCCGTATTTCAGCCTAGGACTATAGTTAGGTGGGAACCATTCTGTCAGTCGGGATGCTTTGAAAACTACCTGCAATTCAGTTTTAGAGCTTGTTCCTGTACTTAGTAAAGTCAGTTGCAAAACTGACGTTCATTTCATATTTACAGGCATAGGTTTTTAAGGCCAGATCCATAAAGGTATTTTGAAACTTAAGTCCTAATGATTTGGATATCTAAATACCTTTTTAAATCAGAGCATTAGTGAGCACATTTTGTTTAGACTGTCTTTAAAACACGAAATAAAAGAGAAGAGAGAAACTCACTGAGGTAATGTTTATTTCAGAATATTCATGTACTACTATTCACTTGTTACAGAAGTTCTTTGCAATACCTTAGATATAAATTCTGTAATGGAAGCCCTCTAAATTTTGAAGCCCATTGATTCTGATTTATGTGGCATATTTGTATTTCTGTTACGACTTTCAGTACATTCAAAACTAGGTATAATTATTGAATTAAAAATTAAAAGAAGTAATGCAACCAGTACAGTATTATTGGATATTCATTTTGGTATCAAGTACAATGTAAATCTCAGTTTTGGAATGCCTGTCAACTTGATTTGTAACTGTACATAAATGTACTAGCACTGATTTTTTTTTTTTTTTTTTGCTAAAATGATCACCAGTCAACAGTGTTGATTTATATTTTCATCATTAAGGAGCAGAGATAGTTTTCAACTCAGATGATTGAGAGCTGGTAGCATGATACTTTAAAGTGACTGGTAAATCCAGTAAAATGCATATCAATTTGCTTAGTTTTTACTACAGCTATTTTTGCTAGAAACTTGAGTTATTTATTTATACTTTAAAAGCTCACTTGTGTATGAATTTCCATTTTTAGTTTCAAATGGGACTGTGGCTTTATTCCTTCTTCAAATGTAAAGCAGTCCATTAAGGGGATACGGACTACCCAGCCCTTTAATTTGGAAATTCCGAACCCAAAGGTCATTCTAAACCATTAAAAAATAATAAAATAAATAATTACCACTTTACTCCAATAATTACCACTTTACTGGGTCTATTTGTTGCATCTCACTTAATATACTAGCATTTGTACATGTTTGCTTTACATTAGCATTTCTAGCAGTTAAAGCCAAGCAGAATGTCCAGCAGAAAAGCTGAATTTAATCTTAAGCATTTTGTTAGCTTTATAATACCTGTTGTAAAGTAAAAAAGATTTTGTACTGTGCTTTGAAATAGAATACTTTTGAATTTCATCCTTCCAAAAAGTCTTTTTTTTTTTTTTATATACAGAATTTTGTGTCACTCCAGTTTCCAAAGGAGGATTTGAAAAAGAGCAATCTGGATCATTTTCAATGAGCAAATTAAGGAGTAATCTGTTCCGTCGAAGTATGATGTTTTTGTTCAAGTTCACTAATTAATATATTAAGTGCATGTTTTGGGGTTTGGGATTTTTTTGGAGGGGCAGGGGTTGGCTTAGTGTGCAAGTTCAAGAACTCAAAATACCTAAGCAAAAAATAATTTAAACTTAAAATATGCACTGAGATAAAAGTTTATTAAAATAATTGCAAAAATCTTAAGATATAAATTGAAACAATTTGGTTTAAAATAATTATACCTTTAAGAAACATTAGTAATATTATCATGAAAACCATCATTAAGTATTATAATATATATATGTATGTGTGTGTGTGTGTGTGTGTGTGTATATAAACTAATATTATACAATGGCAACATTTTAGTTTGTTAACCTATTTATATTTTTACAACTTACAGACAGTATTGTTATCAAACCTCCAAGGATGATATATAAAATGAGCTTGTAAATATAAACTATTTATCAATTAAATATACTAAAACATGTTTTGGAAGAAGCAATCCTGAATTGATAAGGAAATGTTGTATCCATGGTTGTAGATTTTCTCTCCAACGATATGAAACCAAAATTTTAACAAGCAGTACAGTTGATACAATTAAAGACTTCACATTCTCCATCCTAAGTAGTTAGATTTACTTCAGTACTATCCAGTACAGGCAGTCCTCAACTTATGGCGCTTTGACTTACGGCAATTCCCACTTGCGGCGCTCCACCATTTACACTCATATTATTACTTAGGGCGCTGGATCTTCACACTTATGACACTACAGGGATATTTACAATGAGAAAAAGAGGGCAGCAAAACAAACATCCCTGGATCAGTTTCTCAAAAAGCCATCAAGTGGCCCCAAGTCTCCCCAAAATCTCCCCAAAGAAGCCCTTCTGAATTCCATGACCCTGATGAAGGTGATTCACCTTCTGATTAAATAAAATTCTGTGTGATTAGTTACTGTATTGCCCTGTTTAACAGATTTATATACAGTACACTTTAGAAAGCTTTGTACTGCATAATGTATATCATTTATAGTTGACTAAATAGTTGATTTCAATATGGTGTTTATAGTCATTTCTATAAAAAGTTGGGCATCAGGCCCTTGTTCAGGAACATAACCCCCTACTAGAACATTGTTTCTATGGGAAAATCAGATTCGACTCGTTTCAACTTCCAGCACCTTTTCCCAGGAATGTAACCTGCTGTAAGTGCGAGGACTGCCTGTAAGGGCAAATAAAGTCACTTGGAACACTGCCATTTGCTTAAGTGAGTAGAGGTTCAGGCCACATTTTTCTCATTCTAAGTATGGGGGAACCTACAAGTGCAAGGGTAAATGTAAATGTGGTGGTGCAGTAATAACTATTTCTAATGGTGGCCTTTGCAGAGGTGGCTTTATTGTTTCCTCTTTGATCACAGGGGTTTCTTGGGGAAAAGCTAAATGTAGTGCAAATTAAAAAGGCCTCTGTTGCTCTGATCAGCTGTGGGAAATAGCAGCCTCTAAGGTGTAGTGATCACTGGGTTCAATAAATACAGGCGCACATGAATGAAAACAAAAAACTAAGTGTTATTTGTGAAGCAGTAGGCAAGCCTCTCTAGTCTTTTAGTCTCTCTAACTAGTTTAGCTGAAGGACCGTCTGTCTCCCAATTCCCAACCTCTGTAATCTAAGTAAGGGAGTATTTCCAAACTTTTGTAAGAAATTACACTTTGCAAGAATGTGATTTCAACAGTAATAAAATAAGCCTCCTGCAGATCATACCTCAGGAATTTCTGATGGGAAAAATAATTGATGAAAAAAGAGATGCATAGGAATGTCAAATGTGAGCTGAAAATGGAAAGCCATTTACTTCCTTGAAAGTGGTTTCTCAAATGTGGTTTCATGGTCCAGTTATTTCATGGTGTGGCATAGAGAGTTCGTAACATGCAGACAAGTCATTGGTATTTTTGTGTGCATTCTTTTTCAGATAAGTGGGTATTGGAGACTGTTGCTAACTCAGATGATTACTTGGAGGAGCTTTTAACAGATTATTATGAAAAAGCTGCAAGCATGACTGATGTCTCTACAAGCTATCTCAGAGAAGGGTCTCATATCCGAGTGAATTTACTTAATAACAACATCCCAAAAGGTCCATGTGTCCTTTGTGGCATGGGTCACTCTAAAAGGGAGACAGTCTATGGATGTCTCGAGTGTTCTTTTCATGGACAAAAGTATGTACGACTGCATGCTGTGCCCTGCTTTGACCTCTGGCACAGAAGGGTGAGATAAATTATCTGTGACAGTGCCTATTGTTATAGACTTAGGTATAACTGTGCCACAAACTTTCCAAAAGTGACTTAGTAAAGCATTAAAAGTGCAAAATGTTTTAGTATACTACTTTCTATTTTCAAGTGATGTTTTATTTTACACATACAGCTAATTATATTAATTAGTTTAGCATGTAGGGTTTTTTTTTTTTAAATATCACTGCTTTTCATTTTCCTAGCACTTTCTCATTTCATTATCCATGGTAACTAATCCATGTACTTTTAAACTGAATCAGAAAATAGCAATTTTTAGCTTCTTATATTTTGAAATGGACTTACAAAATTTGCTCTTCTTTGTAAAGATATTTCCTTAACTACATCAGGGTATGATGGTAAAATGAGAAAATCTGTTAAATATTTAGTGTTGTCATAAATGTTTAATCGAAGTATCAGATTAAAAACACATTGGAGGTTAGCTCAGTTTAAGGTTTCTTTTATAAAGGAGAAGACTGAAAAGGATCATAGCTGAGGATATGGGTTTCATATCAGGATGTGATTACCATATGTCTTTATTCTGACTATATTAACTCTGACCACCAGCTAGCGCACATTTTGCATAACTTGGATAACTTGCATCTGTTTTATTCTGAGTTAGACTGGCTATTGACTTGAATGTCTTTGATGTATACAGGTAAAAATATTGTAGCGATAATTTATATCACTAACAATAATGTATTACATCAATCCTTTTAGATTTCATGTCTGAAGTTCTGTTACCTAGAATAGGAATTTGGCAGCATTTTCTGTGGGGGATACTGGAATGACTCAGCCTGGATCAGAGAAAGGCAGGCATTAGGACCCAGCTGTTGCTGCCACTTCTCTCTGCTGAGCTGTTCAGTGTGGCATGATGAAAGCCCCTTCCACCAGAATCTGTGCTGCTTGACTGCAGCCAGGTAAAGGCACAGCCCCCTCCACTGGAGCCGCAGGTAGCTGACTGTAGTGTGCAAGAGGGAGAGCCCCTGCCACCAAATGCTGCCAAAATCACAGTTCTGCAGGCCACAGGTTGCTGACTCCTGACCTAGAGAGCCTAACATCACAACTTACAGTAGTTTGCATTATTGGGAGTACATACACTAGAGGGCACTGCAGAGTGTAATTCAGAACACTGGGAACTGGCACTGCTGTCCAGAATAGCTGTCACAAGTGTTTATGTCTCTCTTAATGTCATTATAAATTAAGTGGGAGATTAAAATTTTTATTCCTGCTTCCCTTGAAAAAACGGTGTGGTAGGTTTTCTGTTTCTTGCTAGCCCTACCAGTTTTGGTTGAAGCTTTAAACTTCATATTTTACCTAAAGCAGTGTTTTTCAAACTTTTTTTTTTTTTCATTTGTGGATCCCTAAAAAATTTTGAATGGAGGTGTGGACCTCTCTGAGTTTCTAAATGCGGGTATTCACATACTTCCAATTGAACGTAATTCTCTTTGGCAGACCCTTTAAACATAGCCTGCAGACCTCTGGGGGTCCACAGACCACAGGTTGAAAACCATTACACATTCAAATAAACAGCAATGTCTTTTTCTTTATAAATGAAAGGAAAAAATATTTGTTTTGCTGATAATGAAAAACAAGTTAGAATATTTCAATTTATGACTTGCATAGCAACCATAACTGTTACTACACTACACTTTTCCAGTGTAAGAGAAGCAAGAATCAGGTTCACGGAGTTAATTACGTTTATATTAAATAATATAATACTCCCACTCCCTCTGTATTGCACAACAAATTAGAAAAGTAGATGTCTGCTTTGAGGTACTGAACCTTAGTTCATTTTGCAATTTAATGTATTTTAAAAAGTGTAAAGAATGATCCACTCATTTTGTTAAAAATTGAATTTTCACTTACTGTTAACAGTATACTTTAAATATGTACAATTATGTTTACATTGTAGAAGTTATTGTAAATTGTTTTAAGAAATCTTTGTGCATTCATAGAATTCTAGTGACAGTGTCAATTTTAATGTTTTGATCTTGAGGGTTTTCTTCTAGAAGCATTAACATGATTATGACAAGCACACTTCATCTCACAATCTGTAATTCTATCACTGACCTGTTAAATCTATCATGATTTATTTTTGTCCATTGTCTTTGGGGAACCTGGGCTAGAAGCCTGCAGGGCACCATGTTTAAACAGCCATGGTTGGTCACATCTCAGCCTGTCAGAACTTAACTTCCCAGGCAAACATTATTCAATTCCTTAGAGGTATAACAAGAAATTTCTGTGTTGCAAGTTGTAGTGGTGGCTGCCACCATTCTACAGCCCCTCAAAATCAGCATCTAGGGTTGTATTACTGTAATTGCCTTGGCCAGCAATTAAGTTTTTTTAACTAGAGCCAAAATAAACTAATGATTCTAAGTAAGTTTTCATGAGCTTTCTCTATCTCCTTAGGAGTTTGAGGGGGATAGGAAAGTGTTTCCACTGCAGCTAAATTACAAACCCATCTTTCCTGTGAGTGGCCTACCATTGAACCCTCTCTGTATCTGATACAAAGGGAATAATGGGTTTGATCAGCACCCTGCTCAGTTTGAGTGAGAATTGGTACTGTAGATCAGAGGCTAATTTTAGTTAAGTAATGTCTAGAATAATCATAATGTTTTATATCTGAATTAAGGATTGTGCAACACAGACTATGACATTTTCCAATTTGATTTATTTTGTAAATGCATCACATTCTTTACCGAAGTGTTAATGGCAAGGTTTTAAAAATCTTAAGAGCTATTAGAAAATTACCACAACAAAAATGTAAAAAAAAAAAAAGGGACAAAAAGAATGTTCATTGTAAAAAATCCTTGAATTTAGTGTGCAGAAAGCAGCCAAGAGATTTTATAAATAATTTACTATAGTTCATCGTGTTGGTAGACATTGTATTCCTTGGCAGATATGAAGCCATCTCCATCATGGTCATTCTTCTTGAATATATCAGTTAAAATAATATCATGATCTGAAGGATCACGCTTTTTACCATCTCTGGCAAATTCCTGTTTTAAATATTGGCTTATCTGAAAAAAATGAAAACATATCAAACTGAGTTGATTTTTGAGTCCACCTTGATAAAACCTGGCAGGCATTCACACCACAAATGTAATTTTACATTTGAGCTAGAAGTTCTCACATTTGAAGCTATAGAAAATTATGCTGAAAGACCAAAATATTAGGCAAGCGTATAAAAAATGCATTAAAATGTCTACCTTCTCACACCTCCTCTTTATCAATATGGATTAATAGTATATAATGAGTCATAAATGACAAATACCTTTAAACAGTTTGGTCTGTCTGACCAGTCTATAATGCATAAATATCCCAATCCTAAATATTTCACTTTTGTTGGTAGTTCCAATACACAGATCAAGAATTGAAGAGTTGTAGCACAAATACTGATCTCTGTGCTTCCAAAGCTATGCTGTGAGTAAAACAATCTAGTTTGCTTGAAAACAAGCCTACCCAAGCTCTGGTCACCGCAGTTTGTACCCTGGCAAATCTCGGATGCAGCTTTATATTTATCAAAGGATATGATTATGCAGCACAAGGCAGGACTGTGTAGGCATACCCAAACTGATAAGTAGATACCAAGGTTGTTTATATAGGGATAACGCATCTTCTTTTCTATTAAAGTGGTATCTTCTGAAGTAGTTAAGGCATTTTACCTCATCTTGAGAGAGTTTTTTGTCATTATCTATGTCTATCTGTTGAAAAGCTTCAACACTCCGTGGTCCTTTATGTACTGCATACAGTTCAATGTCAAAGATCAACGTTGCATTTGGTGGAATCTTGGCTTGTGCTAGGAACACAAAAGAATTTTAGGATTCACAGAAAGGTTAAAGATCACATTACTGGCAAATACACTTGTATCTCTATTCATCCATAGGAATAGGGTAATAGTGCAGTACTCCAATTTGTTTAAAACCCGAATAAAATTCTAATAAAAATATATACTATTTCCCTCTTTAAAGGGAAGTTTTGAAACAAAATGTGTACACAATTCATACCCATGAGCCTTCTTTTGAAATCCTCATGCTGTTATATGTCATTCAATGATATGTCATCATTGAGAAATTAATTACATTCATGCCCTTCAATTTTTTTAAATTTAAAATCAATATCTGCTATAATGGAGCCATGTTTATATATCTTCTTTGTTTGACAAGGAAACAAAACAGGTTATAAAGGTTACTAAGTTCTGCAAAAAAGGTTTGCTACCTAATTGCATCTACTGTTAAGCAATAGTCGCACAAAAAATCCAGTGAGTCAAAATACGTAACCATTTTGAAAAGTAGTTATGGAAAGACAAATGGTCAAGTATTCAGCATCCAAGTCATCAGATCACCATGTTTAAGAGAGCTATAGAATGATCTGTTCAATCCTAAAGGAGGGAAGGAAAGTGAGCTCAAACATTTCTATGTCAAAGCATCTTCTGGTATCAAAGATATAAAGAAAATAATAGTTACAACGATAGCTCATTGTATCATGCTTCTGGCCAAAAGGGGGTGAAAAAGTGATAGACAAACAAGAAGACGAGATCACTGAGATCTAAACTTAAGGCAAAAAACTTTTAATGGCTAACCATGCAGCATGCAGTTAATATGGAATCATACTAGATCCTACTTATATACTTGCTGACCTAATGCTAATGATAATAATCAGAAACTTGTCAGTATCTATTTCTGAGCTTCAACATATCCTAGTGAGCTGAAGAAAAAGGTAAAGCATTCTTTTTGAAGAGTAGAGGACAATTACTAATATTACCGGAATTTCTCACTCAAGTTGTCTATAATAAAAGATAATGACAGGCTTTAGACTTCTTGCGACAAATTGTTTCAAATGTGTAAAAATCTTGAATATTTACTGCACAGACACATATGCAACAGGTCAGCTGACATTTATAAATATAGGATACAAAGTTATAGACCTTTGTGCAGGTAATTAAAAGAATAATACATACCAGAGGAAAAGATACATAAAGACCTAAGAAAGCCACATGCATCTTGTCTAATTCAAAGTTAGGCAGGCATCTTCCCCGGCATGCAGGAGTACGCTGAGACAGAACAAAATTGTTGTAGGGAAAAAAAAGACTTTCTTCAAGCATTGCCTAGGAACAAATAGTTACATCTAATATTAGATTTAAGGATCTGCTTTTGTAACAGCAATTTCTCATTATGACAAGATGTGCTCACGACTTACAGTGAATAAGCCAATTATAGTGTAACTGCACTGGGTTCAATGCTATTTCATTAAGGATACAGCTGGTTAATGGAATTTTGGCATGGGACAACATCAGTGTATTTAATCAATGCACCTCATTCATAGTTGAAGTTGGATTACAAAAACATACATTACAATACTGTCCATCAGTTGAAACACTTCATGATAAAGCTCCAAGTCCTTAGTCAACCTATGCATGTCTTTTAAATTACATACATACATGTAATAAATTCAAAGTTTTCTTTTCTGCATTCAGTGGAATGATAGCAACCATAATAATTATTACACTGGCTGATGCAACTAGCTGTTAAATTAGTACCTAGACACTTTGCCAAACAAATATTAATTCCAAGTGTCTACAGAATTTCATATGGCTTTGCATACAAGGAACAAGATTTTATTAAAGGACCATTTTGGCAATGCCTAAATAACAGTAGTTAAATGTGAATGTTATATAGCAAGGAAAAAAGGTAACAGCAATATTAAATATTTATTGAGCTCAGAATAAGGCAATCTCTGGTACCCTCACAAACACATAACTGAAGTCCAAAACTTTCTATAAAGCAACAGTTTTAAGAAACTGGTCTTTTTAAAAAAAATAATTCATATTATAATCTAAATTGTAAGGAATTGTTATCTATGTTATGTAAATTTGTAACAGTGATTCCACACAACGGGCACACTCTCTCTCTCTCTCGCATACAGTTGCTGTCTAGAGGCAAGGGAGAGTAGCTGTATATACCCTTTTGTGGTGGAGACAGAAGATAGGATTAAGAAAACCCTACTCAAGGATGAAAAATTAGCAAAGCCCAGCCAGGAGACCATGGAAAGCCCTGCTGCCAATTGTAGTGCTCCTATCACAAAAGTTCAGGGCTAGCACAGGAAAGGCATTAGCATGGATTCATTCTTATACATTCATTTCTGTATATCTTTACCCACGTGGGAAGGCCTGATGCACGTGAGCAATTCACTTTATTTAGATTGTGTGTATATGTATGGACTACTCATGCTGAATAAAAGTTTGTACAATCAGACCCTGTAGTTTTAGCTATAAAATAAAGTGGAAAGACTGGGGGCACGTACAGAGGAATGCGCACGTGAATTTCCCTGGAGAAATAGCAGCAGCACATAGTTGTGCTGCTTTTACTTGTCCCTGGGGAATGCCCCTGTATGTGTGCTCTGGCACATGGCAAATTACCCTGGATGGGGTAGGGGAGGATGTGGGGCCAGCACCTGGGGCCCTCCTGGGGCTTCAGTGGCAATGATGCTGGCATGCAGAGCCTGGCTGGTAGCCAAAGTGTAGCTCTGGCTGGCCAGGCTCTAGTTTGGGGCAACACATGCTGCACCCACAGGCACCACCCTTCTATTTTTTTTTAAACACTTTTTTTTTTGTTTTGTTTTTAGATACCAGGATTTAATTTTGGCTCAATGCTAAATGTAGCATGGAGAACTGTTTCAGGTGTGCTGCATGCATTTTGTAGTGCCTCAAAAGCTTTTGAGATGCCACAAACTGCATGTGTGCTTGTCTGGACATGTCCTGAATGGCTGGTCTTAAAATTAATGGCAACTTTTGCTTTCTTTGATATTTGTAGATAGGCAGCAATAAGGCAGAAAGAATAAAATCATTAATTTTAAAAATTAAGGATTTTTGGGTTTTTTTACCATATCCTTGCTCTCCATACGCTAATGATGGTGGAATTGTCACTTTCCGTTTTTCTCCAGGACACATATTCATCATACCAGTATCTAATCCTTTTATTACTTGTCCAACACCAAGAACAAACCATTTTGGATGGCCTTCATTTTGTGTCCGACTAAATAAGAGGGAAAAAACACAAAACACAAAAGCTTTTAATAAATATACAGTAAAAAAGGGACAATATTCAAATACTTAATGAAAAATATTAGTATTTCAGTACAATTCCATTTTAGAAAGAAAAACTATCAATTAATGAATTTAAACATATTAAGTGTTTAATTTTTTTACAAGCTTGTAGTTACTGAATTTTAAATATATCTTTTTATTATGACACATTAAAAAGTATGTCAAAATAAAAAATTTGTAACCTCTGATAAATATAATAATATATTAAGGTACTATGTTATTTTCTGGTATAATTTACTGCAAACTAGGGATCAAATCTTAAGTTGTGTATGCAAGTAAACTCCCAGATTTCATAGGAGTTTAGGAGTTTGTAAATCATTAACTAAAAATTAACTGCTAAAATTGCTCCTCCATACAGAGGAGCTGTATATAGAGAACAAAAACATTCAAAGAACAAAGCTTTAGAAATGATTCTTTCTTGAGTTTTCTCCAATCCTACAACAGTAGGGTAGTTCTGCTGCAAAATTGTGGATCACATAGGATCTGCATGATGCCTGGCCATTCCCACAACAGGGTGGGTCCTGAACACCGAGTCTGACCAACTGAGGCAGACACTATGGGCCAAATCTGATTTCCCCTATAAGGTACCTTCAGAATAGCTAATGGGGATGACCCTGGAGCATTATCACTGGTGTATTTCTGGATTTAGAGCATACATGCAGAAGCAGGTGGGCAGGAAGTGTTTTGGGCTATCTCGGTGGAGGAATGCTGCAAGGCAGACATGCCAATGCTAGAATAAGTAGGTGCAGATATAGAACAAAGCAGGTAATAAAAGTGATTTATTTTGGGTCTCTAAAGAAAAATCTGATGGTTAACCTATTATAGATCAAAGAGTCTGTAAGTGAATGATTCCTGATTAAAGGTGTAGCCTACTTTATTTTCTTACACCTAGCATACCCCAGAAAATAATACAGACCCTGATTTTTACACAGCTTGAAGAAAAAAAAAATCTTACCTTTTGGGAGAGGTAAGCAATTAATCCAGTGTGTCAGGTCTCAGGTCACACACTGGGTTTGATTCTGCATGTTGGATCTGTGCACTGGGCCTGTACCAGCCACCACTGTTGTGTGGCCAGGCAGGGACTGGAGCGGGCACATGCTCCATAACTTGGGATGGAGCTGAAGCCAGGACAAGAAGGTAAGCAGTGGTGGGGCAGAGATGGTGGGGGCAGCAGCTGTGGCTCTGACTCCAACTCCAGGTTTGGGGTCAGAGCTGTTATTTCTGCCTTACATGCAAATCCAAGACAAGTGGCTTTTTCAGCCCCCTTCTCCCTCCCCTGCCATGTTGAATGCAGGGGAAAAAAAACCCTTGTCCTGGATTTGTGTAAATGTGGTAAGTTTATCCTATGCTGTTTCTACACTGGGCTCTGAGGGGTGATACTAGAAAGACTTTAACATTCTTTAAATTTAGTTTTCTGCATTAATGTGTGTTGATGCATAGTAAAACCAGTTATTTATCAGCAAATACAGACCTCTTTATTGGTGGCAGATGCCCATTATGGCCCTCACCCTGGAAAAAAACGTAACCACCTACCTCTGGTACGCTGTGAACAAAATTAGATGTCTGCAGAAGATCCTGCCTACACAAGAAAACTGTTCAAGCAGAAGCAGCCTCTCAAAGGAATGATTTAAATACAGGAAAGCATACAACTCCTTTGTGTAACCAAGGCCTGCATCTTCACGTGTCTTTGGCAGAAATGCTATGCAATACTGTTGGGTTGTTGGTTGTAGCTGTGTTGGCCTAAGGACACAGGCAGACAAGGTTCTTTGGGTAGATGTGATATCTTTTAATACCAAGTAAACAGTTGGAAAAAAGTTCTTTGCAAACATTTTTCCAGCTACTGAGTTGGTCTAATAAAAGATACCACATTTACCCAAAGAACCCCATGCAATGGTGTTTGTGCTTTAAAATAACTGGCTGGGGATGTATATTATATGTCTATAAGGGACCCTCTAGATGTGCAGTGGGATCCGATGCATGATCCATACCATGGTGCTTCCTGCCATGACACACATGCATGACAGGATGGGTGACTGTGGGATTGCACATCATTTCCCATCACTCCTTGCTGCCAGTGCAGGGGGGAGCTCAGGATCATCCCGCACTGCCAAGTAACCAGCTCCTGCGGCTGCAAGCCTCTAGGTGGTGCTCTGGCTGGGAGCCCTGGCAGTTGATCTGGGCTCCCAGCTGTGGGGACACAGGGTGCACCCCCAGGGCTGGCAGCCCCACCAACTGACAGGGCTCCCAGCTGCAAGATGGCCCCTGATCCGTGCTCCCAGCTGACAGCGTGCGCGTGGCCACACGTTCAATCAGTGGCGTGACACCCCCCAGCCGCTAAATTATGCCACATTTTTGGTGGAACAGTTTTGCGGCTCACCCCTCATTTTCCTTCCATGGCTTCAAGGCGCTCAGGGGTTAGGACTGCACTGGGCGTGCGGCAGGGGCCCGAGGGAGGGAGGCAGCACCGGGACAGAACCCGGGCCGGTTTACACCGTTGGCACGAGGCCCCCAGGCCTGCCCTGCCCGGCCGGCCGCCCGCGCTCACCTGCAGTAGAAGCGGGCCCCGCCGCGGGCCAGGTACCCGTCGTAGTGCGCGTTGAGCATGTCGCCCCTCCTGCTGCGCGGGCTGCAGTCGGCGGGGACGTGCAGGACCTCGATCTTGACCTCCTCCCGCCCCGCGGTCGGCTCCGGCGTCTGCCCCAGCGCGGGGGTCGCCAGGAGCCCGAGCGCCTGCAGCGCCACTGCCAGCGCCAGCGCCATGTCCCCGCCGTGCCGCGT